GAACTTCACTGCTGAGACCATTGCCAAGCGGAGCCGAGCCTTCGAACAGTTCTTGTCCCATCTGCACTCCATCGACGAGATCCGCCGCTCTCCTGAGTTCCTCGAGTTCTTCTTCCTACCGGACCTGCAGGCCGCACAGCGCCTGACCTGCACCGGCATGTACCGCGAGGCCCTGGCCACCTGGGCCAATGCCTACCGGCTGCAGGACCGGCTGGGGGTCTGCAGCTCCGGCCGCTTCCTGCTGACACTGGCTGGACTGGCCGTCTGCCACCAGGAGCTGGACCAGCTCAGTGAGGCCCACGGCTACTGTGAGCAGGCGCTGCAGCTGCTGGAGGCCCAGGGCAGCCACCCACTCCTGGGACCCTTCCTGCAGGCCCACGTCCACCTGGCCTGGAAGGTGGGCAAGGACAAGCGGCGCTCGGAGGCCCGGCTGCAGGACCTGCGGGAAGCTGGGTTGCCCCTGCAGCAGCAACCTTCCCTGAAGGAATGCCTGATCAAGGAGCCTCTGGAATAAGCCACCTGTGCCCACATGGGTGAGAGGGCAAGGGCTGTGGGGGGCTCATGCCTGTGGCAGCTGGGAACAGTAAGGGCAATGCCGTGGGTGGCAATAGGGCAGAGGAGCAGCACTGCAGTCCCATGGGCAGCACAGCCCATGCCTGGAGCTGCCTCCTGAATGCACTTTCTCTCTGGTTAGTCTGTCTTGCTGGGCTGGGGACTCAGGGGGGTCCACCACCCACATGGGTGCTGCCAGAAGCTGCTCCCCCTCTCCTGGGGATCCTGGAGTGGCTGAGACTTTAGCTGGGACGTACTGGCACCTTGCAAGGGAACGGGAAAGCTTCTGGCAGGGTCCAGGGCTCTTGCCGGGAACTTCCCATGAAACTTACACAATAGAAAGGACTTTATTAAATAAAGTCTTGGCAGGAAGAAGAGCAAGGCGCTTGCTGTGTCTGTTCAGCCCCACTACCCTAGGGCACCATCAGTGAGAGGCTCAAGCTTCCACACAGAGGTGGGAGTTGCCTCATCTCCTTCTCCCGGCTCCCAGCCAGGCCCAAGCCCAAGCCCAGTCCTGGGAAGGAGCCCAAGGACAAGCAGAAGCAGCAACTGAGGAGCCAAGGCACAAGCAGTGCAGAAGTGAGAAGAGGAAGCAACGTGTACCGAAGTAGCACCTTCCCGTCCTGTGACCCAGCCTGCCATGGGGGCAGAGCTGATCCTGGCACTGTGCTCCTGGCACTGCCTGTCCTCGAGCAAGCACAGTCACAGATTCAAGGGGACAAACTCCAGGGACAGAGTCCAGCTCTTCACCCAACAGCTTTATTTTAAGGTGGGTGAAGGACAGCTGATGGCAGTGTGCAGTTACATGCTGTGCAGCTAGCAGCTGGTTGCAGTGATGCTCTGTTGGTCACAGTCTGTCACAAACACCTCTGGCACCAGGACTTCCTGCAGTCCTTGGTCCCACCTGGTCTCCTTCCTGTTCCTGTCGAGGTCCTGTCTTGATCTCAGGGTCCCTCCCTAGGCATGCCTAAGCCCCAGCTATAGGGTCTCCTCAGCTAGAGCTTGCTCTGGTTTGGTGTCTGTTCCACCCTGATGACACCTTCCTGTGCGCAGGTGACAGCCAGGACCCCATCCCTGCGCCACAGCCGTCCCTGCACCAAGCCGCGGCACCCACCTGCAGAGAGCAACTGTCAGACTGCAGCCCAGTGTCCCCAGGACAGGCAGGGCTGGCCTTGGCCATGAAGGTCTCCCAAAAACGCACTAAGGACTTACCAGCCCAGGGGCTCTCACACTCGTACAGCATCCAGTGGTCAGCTCTGAAGGGCGCATGGAACCACATGGAATGGTCAAGGGACACCATGAACTTGACGTGGTACTGCCGATGCGGGAGCAGGGCCGTGCCCAGGAAGGCGTAGTCAGAGATGTAGGCGGCCACACAGCAATGCACCTTCATGTCAGTCTCCCCTGCAGAGCAACCAGTGCTGCCCGTCCCGCGGGGGCCCGTGGGACACGCCTGGGGGGCAGCGCAGCACAAGGCAGAGCCTCAGGGGCTCTGCTGCCCTGGAGCCAGCTGCCAAGCACAGCTGAGATTCTTCCAGACTTACTCTCTTTGCCGTGCCATGCCTCAGTGTGGGTCACGGCATCACCTCTGCACCCACACCTGTATTACAGCCTTGAAGTGCCCAGGCTGGGGCGCAGGCAGCCCCCTTATCACAGCTCTACCAGCCCACTCTGTTGCAACAGTGCTCCACAGTGTGAGCTGGTGCTTAAGCCCTTGGATTGGGAGGCACCTGGACCCAGCAGGACCCACCTATGTAGCCTCGTGCTCGCACCCAGAAGAGCTGCTTCGGCTCTTGTGGCTCTGAACTGAATATATCTGGTGGGTTCACGGGTTTAATGTCAATCGGCACATCCTGAGCTTGGATCTTGGTGAGATGCTTCCTGTATCTCTCAGCCACATTAGGATTCCTGCAGCCCAGAACAGAGAAGCAAAGTTAACACCAGACAGGCAGGTTGGATCACATCCTACTGGCAGCAGCTCCAGCTCAGGGACCCAGGGGCACACAGAGACTAGAGCAGCACAGCTCCTGTCATGTCCTGCTCCTCTGTTTCACTCCCAGGTATACTGGAGAATTCCTCACAGTCCTCTCCCACACCTCCCTATGCCCCAGGCAACAAGGAGCATCCCCAGCGTGTCCCTTCCACCCCACTACTCACTGCAGGAACTTCTGGATGAGCTCCTCCTGTGTCAGAAGCTCCTCGGGGGGTGGCACGGTCGGCATGGTGAACTGGTGCTGCACTGGGCTTCCCTGGGAGAGCTGGAAGGAGGCCTGGCAGGTGAAGATCGGCTGTCCGTGCTGGATGGCCTTTACGGAACGAACAGAGAAACTCTTCCCTGTACGGGTCCGCTCCACCTCGTACAGCACTGGCACCTTGGGGTCCCCTGGGACAGGAAAGGGACATTCTGCCGGCTGGGCCACGGCACACCACGCACAGCCGAAACCTGCCCTGCAGCGCCACTCACACCCTCCCTATTTTGCTGGGACCGGGATGACAGCGCCTCCTCACTCCTGCGAACTTCCCTCGCGTCTCAGACACTGCCGGGCCTCTCCCGAGCCCCTGCACCCCGTCCCCGCCGCCCGGTTCCCCGGTTCCTCGGGCGCACCTGTCCGCACGAAGTAGCAGTGCAGCGAGTGCACCTGCTCGTCGCGGCTCACGGCATGGGCTGCCGCCACCAGCGCCTGCCCCACGATCTGCCCGCCGAAGAGGTGCTGCGTGGCGGGTACCCAGTGGTGCCGGCCCCTGCGGGGAGAAGGCGGCCGCGGTGAGGGTGGCGGCGGAGGAGGAAGCGGCCCGGTCCCGCTACCCGGCATCCACGCGCACCTGAAGAGGTCGACCTCCAGCCGCTCCAGATTCAGCACACTGGTGATCAGCACGCTGCGCAGGTCCCCGGGCGGCGGCGGCCCGGATCCCCGCCCCGCTCCAGCCCCACCGGCGCCGCCCGGAGCCGCCATCACCTCCGCGAGCTGGGACCGGCACCGCGACCCGACCAGCACGGCGGACCAGGAAGCACCGCCCATCCGCGGGGCGAAGGCCGCCATGTGATTGGACAGTAGAGCTGTCAGTCACCCTTGTCTTGTCAGGATGCTCTGGGCTGGTTGGTTTGCCTCCTGTCAATCGGAAGAAGACGGCGCTGATTGGTCAATTATCACGACGAGGGCGGTGCCCGGCCGGTTTAACGGGGATGGCGGGGTGGGCTTGGGCCGGTCCTGGGGCCGCGGAGCCGACGGCCGGGCGGAGAGTGTCCGGGTGTGCCCCCGTGCCCATCCCTCGCCATGCGCCCGCTTCCTCGCCTACAAGGGCTGCCTCTATGGCCTGCAGAGCTGCGTCGCGGCGCGCAGCCACTAGCCGGTAACACGGCACCGCTGTCCGCCAGCACGTCAGGTAAGGTCCGCCCGCCGCGTCCGCCTGCAGCTCGCAGCAGCCCCTGTGGTAGGGCCGGGTCCCCCGGTGTAGCACCGCCAGGCCCCGTGGTGACACCGCTTGGGCCCAGCCCAGCGCTTCCCCGGGGCACAGGCCCTGTCCCGTACCTGGCTTTGATAACCGGGCTGATCCCGGTAGTGTGATGCCCCGGTACCGGGGCACTGCCAGCTGTGCCACTGACGTGCTGTGTTCACTGTACAGCTCCTGCCTTTTTCAGCTCAAGACTCCCAAGCGTCGGCATCTGCAGCATTCTCCAGCTGTCCTTACCTCACTGCGGTGGAAAGGTGATACCAGGTTTCCCTCAGGGAGCACTTGACTCCACGGCCTTCACTTCTCCAAGCGGGTGTAGTGACCCTGTTTCCATCCTAGCTGGTGGATCTGCTTGTGTGCACAAAGGCTGCAAGGTCACTCACTAGTTACGCAACTGCTCCCTTTGCCCTTTTAAAATATAACTTACCTTCTTAAAATACAATTTAACCTCCTTCCTTGAAACTTTTCTTGTCATGTTCTAGCCTGCTCCTCCAGAGCTGCAGAGCCGTGCAGTTTAGGGATAAAGACACAAACACATGGTTATCAGCTTCCACACCAATGTGATGAAGTGCTTCTTCAAGCAGTTGCTCAGAGTCTTTTCCTACACCGGGCGCCGGGCAAGGGAGGACAAGTCCTCTACACCTTCCTTGTGGAGAGCAAGGAGCGAGGGCGGAGAGCGGTGCACTTATTGCTGAAGAGAGAGACATGAGAGTCCAGTCGCTGAGCCTCGAGCTGCTGCAGAGCGATGGGGAGCAGCTGTAGGAGGGAGGAGGGTGAGGCAGCCAGGCAGGAGCCGGTGTCCGCACGTCTCTCTAGGTAGCGGCCGCACCGAGGGGCACTCCCGGCGTCCCGGGCCGGGTGCGATGCAGAGCGGGCGCTGCGGGCGGCGCCCGAACGCTCCGGTCCCGCCGCGGCGGGCGGTGCCGTGCGAGGCCACACCGCGCGGGGACGGGCACGGGCGGGGGAGGCGGCGGCGGAGCGCGGCAGGGACCGGGATGCGCCGCGATGTCCCCGCCGGTAGCGGCAGCCCGGAGCTGGCCCGCGCCTTCCCGGCGGCCGCGTTGCAGCTCTCCGTGTTCCCCCTCTGCAAGTGGCTGCAGCAGCTGTGCCTGGAGCACCGCACCGAGTGGTTGGTCGTGATCGCCGCCAGGCAAGCTATGGGTGCAGGCACAGAGAGCCGCCAGCAGGAGCTGCTCACCGTCCTGAGAGACCTCATCAGGCTGGACTTGCTGCCTCAGCTCCACCTTCACTGGCTACTCGAGGATGGGATCTGGGACACGGACAGAAGGCAGCTGGGGGGAGAGCAGCGACTTCTTCATGGAGCTGGAGATTGTCATCCAAAGGTTAGGTCAGATTTTCAGTGCTCTCTGGAGAGCTGCATCACCACCTTGGCTCAGCACTACAAAGAGTGTGTTTCTAAGATCCCACCTGATGCCATGATGCTCTCTGCTCCCCATCCTGATCACTGTGCTGCTCAGGCAGCTCCCCAAAGTCTGCCTATTTCAGACTCACCTCTTTCCCCTCTGGTGTGCCGGAGTAACACATCCCAGAGTCCTGGCCAGGCTTCTCATGCTATGGCAGCAGCTCAGCAGAAGCAGCAGCCTGTGTCAGCTTCTCTTGCAGCTGTTGAGAATTGTGTGATTGTTCTCTGGAGTTCACCAGCTCTCTGAAGCCCTTCAGCGTCAGCCTGGAACACCTCATGCTCTTCTCCAGAGTGAGCCAGCAAGCTCAGTCCCTGTTAGATACTGTATCTTGTGTTAAAACTGGAGGCCAAGGAAACCTCAGAGGATGACAGTGAAGATTAGATTACCCGAAGGACTGAAGACGGCATCAGGCAGTCTTTGAGTGGCATTTACACAGAGACTGCTGCCAGGCTGTGCCTGAGTGAGCTGGCAGTGGTTTGGAAGTCCAGGCAGTTGACTGGCACCAGGTAGGACACACTCAGTTTACATATCCTGGAGGATGCTCACCCTGCGGGCATCTTCCAGAAAGGCCCAAGTAGCTACACTTGCCACTTCAACCATGCCTTCCAACTGCCCTGCTGGCACATCTTGGCTGTGCTGAATTCAAACAGGAAGCTCTTGCAGAGGGAGATGCTCAGTAGACGATGGGAGAGGGGATGTGATGCCCATCAGGCCGGGTTAGACAGTGTTGATGGCCTCCTGCAGGTCCTAAAGAGCTCCTGGAACAAGTCTTTGGATAAATGCCTGGTGGTGTCCTTCCTTACAGCAGAGATCAGCCAGCTCCCCACCACGGTAGTGAGGACTTTGAGCACAGGACTCTGGGAGCTGGCTGACAGCTGGATCAGGCCCCACACTGAAGTCAAGCTCCAGCACTGAGTGGGAGCTGAGCTGGGTGCTTCCACTGTGTTCTGTCTTGCACCTTCATTCCCCTCAGCCTGCTATTTCCTTGGTGTGGAAGGGGCAGTTTGGGTCCTTGATCTGCTGAGTGTGTGTCACTTCTTGCACAGGGCAGCAGAGGAACTGGATTGGGAGCTCCTGATCCCACAGGCAGTGTAACAGCCACTGACCTGGCTAGCATCTGTGGCTGGGAGCCAGCTCTGGGTGGTGTGATGTAGGAGGTGCTGCTATCATAGAAACTGCTGAGTTGGAAGGGACCTATTGGGATCATGTCCAACTCCCAGTCCTGTGCAGGACACCACAAAAATCCCACCATGTGCCTGAGAGATACTTCCTGAGTCCAGATAATACCTGAACAGGCTTGATGCCATGGCCACTGCCCATGGGAGCCTGTTCCAGTGCTCAGCCACCCTTTAGGTGAAAAACCTCTTTCTGATATCCTATCTCAATCTCTCCTGACTCAGCTTTATACCATTTCCTCAAGTTCTGTCACTGGTCATGACAGTGAAGAGATCAGTACCTGCCCTTCTGCTTCCTCTCATGAAGATGTTGAAGACCACAATGAGGTCTTCCCTCAGTTTCCTCTTCTCCAGGCTGAACAGACCAAGTTACCTCAACTATTCCTCATAAACTTTGCCTCCAGTCCCATCACCATCCTTGTGGCATCTTTTGAACTCTAATAGCTCAATATCATTTTTATATTGTGGTGCCAAAACTGCCCCCAGGACTTGAGATGAGGCTGCACCAGAGCAGGGCAGGACAATCCCCTCCCTTGCTGGCAGTGCTGTGCCTGATACACCCCAGGACACGACTGGCCCTCCCAGCTGCCAGGACACTGCTGACTCACATTCAACTTGCCATCTACCAGGATTCCCAGGTCCCTTTCCACAGTGCTGGTCTCCAGCTGCTTGTTCCCCTGTCTATATATACAACCAGGGCTGCCCTGTACAAGGTGCAGAATCTGTCACTTGCTCTTGTTAAACTTCATATGGTTGGTGATTGCCCATCTCTCCAATTTGTTGAGGTCTCTGCCCTCAGTGGAGTTGACAGCTCCTCCCAATTTACTGTCATCAGCACTAAACATTAGTATATTACTTACAATTCCTTCAAGTCCTGAGTCCAAGTCATTAATGAAGATGTTGAAGAGAATTGGGTCAATGATGGAGCCCTGTGGAACCCCTCCAGTGACTGGACACCAGCCTGATGTCACCCCATTCACTATAACTCTTTGTGCCCAACCTGTGAGCCAGTTGCTCACCCACTGTGTAACAGGATTATTCAGCTGCAAGCTGGACACTTTGTCGAAAAGAATACTGGGACAGACAGTATCAAAAGCTTTGCTGAAGCCCAAAAACATTAAATCTACCGGCTTTCCTTGATCAATTAGGTGGGTTACCCTGTTGAAGAAGAAAATCATGTTCAACAAGTAGAACTTTCCCCTCATGAGGATGTGCTGGCTGCAACTGGTGACTATGTTCTCCTCCAGGTGTTTTTCAAGACCTGCCAGAATGATCTTTTCCATGATTTTACTGGGCACTGAAGTGAGACTGACAGGCCTGTAGTTTCTTGGGTTTTCCTTCTTGCCCTTCTTTGAAATCGGGACATCATTCCCCAGCTTCCCGTCATTTGGGACCTCTCCAGATTCCCAAAACTGTTCAAAATCATCGAGAGTCTTTGTGATGACATCAGCCAGCTCTTTGTGGTTTCTCCAATTAATCCCATAAGGCCCCATAGATTTGTAGGATCTAGGTACAAAAACATGTGACAAAACTATTTCATCTGTGGCCAGCACCCGCAGGTCCTTGCAGCATCCAGCTGTGAGGTTGTGCAACAGAGCCAATAAATCACCCTTGTGTTGTTTGGGAGCTGAGTCTGTCCCTGTGCCAGCTGCAGCCACCCCTCCCTTCCCAGAGAACAGGGAATGGGGAATCAGGCATGGCTTTAGGCAGTGCTCCTCAATGGTTGGTGGTCTTGTCTCACTGTGGTGCCCGAGGTGGCAGCTCCTGAATCCCTGCAATCCCGCTGTGCTGCAACCCATTATAGAGCAGGGCTGTTGTTTGTCTGGTTGCAGCAGCTGCTCTCAATTCCTCAAGAGGAACCCGCCCTCGTGTGCGGGGGTCACTGCCGGGCAGACAACACTGCAGGGAGGTGGGGAGCAGAGGCTTCGTGCAAGGGTGGGGGAGGGAAAACAGCCTGGAGAGTAAACGCCCTGGACTGTGGGTGCTGCTCTGGAGTGGGTGAGTTCCCCAGCCCCGTCGCAGCCAGATGAGCTCCAGCCCCAGCAGCTCCCAGCCTGTTGTTGGGACATAGCAGAGAATGTCAGAAAGCTTGCTCCATTGCTGTGGTTTGGTCACTGTCCATGTTTTCCCCATTTAGCAATTCCTTCATTAACACTTTGATGTTGATGAAGTTGGCCATGGTTGCGGGCTGGGGATTTCCTTTGAGCAAGAGTTTTGTAACATGATCTGATACTATCGAGTCTCCGACTAAATATAGCATCATGTTTCTTTAAAACACCTTTTTGTAAGCTTAGAGATGCTTGTTTCCCCTTTGGTTGTGCTGTGGACGAAGCCTGGAAGGCTTTGCCCACCCCTTCGCTATCTTTTTGGCTCCTGTGGGCACCCCTCTCATTTTAGGAGACCTCTCTTCTCCAGCCTGTTCCTCTGCACAGCTGCCACCCTGCCTCCCCTCCGGCCTGGCACTGCAGGATGCCAGCTGCCAACCCCACCTGCCAGGAGTTGAGGGGTCTGGCTGAGGGCACGGAGCTGAGGGCATGGAGCTCCAAGTCAGGATGGCTGTGCCCCGCACCAGGTCACTGTGACTGGCTCTGTGACCACAGACACGTGCCCAAGCAAAGGCTGCTGCCAGCACTGCTGTCTGGGTGCTCCAGCATCTGACCTGTCCCCCTCCAAGCTAAACACACAGGAAATAACTCATCGTTCTCTGGGTAAACATCTTTCCCAAGAGTGAAACTACGCAGCCAGGATGAGCGTCCAGCTGTAATTTACCTCCACGTGAGTGCAGTGCTGTGCCCTCCCACTTTTCACCCACCCCAGTACTCGTTCTGATCCTCCCAGACAGTCCCAGTGTAATTCCAGGGCCAAGGACACGTCCTGAACCCCACAGGGCTGTGGCCTGTGCTCCCGTCCTCACTGGTGGGGGAACTGCTCCCACGAGGGGTTGCTGAAGCACAGGGTGGGGGGTCCCAGCTCCCCAAGCCTCCTTTGACAGAGTCTTGTCTGGAAGCACTTTATTGCTCTCTCTGACCCACATAAATCCCCCTGCCCGTGCTCTGGGCATGCCACAACATCAGTTTGGGGAAAATCCCAACCCCACTTTGCCCTGCTCTCATGTCAGCCCTTCAGTGGCACATGCTTGGGTGAGTGGGCAGGGAGGGGCACAGAGCCTGCTGGGTAGCCATCACTGGGGCTGTTGATGTGGGGGGCAGCCCAGCAGCACCCTCAATACCTCACTCATGTTGGCAGAAGCTCTTGAGTAGTGGGGGCAAGTCCAGGCCATCGATGGCCAGGCGGTGCACAATGTGTTTCTGGATAACCAGCCGGCACAGCGTCTGCAGGGAAGGAACTGGAAGAGAACAGATAGTACCTGAGCTAGGCAAGTCAGCAGTGAGGCTGAGCACAGAGGGGTGGAGGAGCTGGCAGAGCTTCTCAGAGGCACTGTGGTTCAAGGGTGAGTTCTGTGGCATCATCCTGCCGTGGGTTTGAACTGGCTGTGCGGGGGCTGGTGCCAGGCTGCTCCAGCAGGGCTGGAAGCTAAAGGGCCCCAGGCAGCAAAGTTATTAGGAGAAAGGTTGAGAGACAGTTACGTGCCCAAGTTGTGTGTGAATGTGCCTGGTTTTCATTTCTTTCTCTGGCAGCTGTCAAGCACCTCTCTGCTGCAGTCCTTTCCCATCCCACTCCCTTGGTCTGCCTGCACTGGCCCCAGCACTAGGCTGCTGGGTGAGTGTCTACAGGCTGGGGCTGCATTGCCTGCAGAGACAGCACCTGCCATGTCTTTGGGGCAGACCACCATGAGAACCATCTCCTTGGGCACCTGCACAGAATCTGTCTGGTTCCTGCTCCTGTGATACCACTTCCTGGAGCCATGAGTGGCTCAGCAGTGTGGGTACTGTCTGCTGCAGCCAGCACTCCCCTCAGGTGTTTCACCAGGGAGAATACCTTCTAGCCTTGGGACAAAAGCAGCTGCTCTTGACACCAGTATATGACACCAGTATATGAAGCAGTGTCTCCCAGTGCTGGGGGCAGCCAGTACTCTGACTGTAGCTCTTCTTCTGGCTCTGTCTCACCTGATCCATGTCCTCATTTTTCCAGCATGGTGCTAATTAGCACTCATTAGCCTGGTCCCTCCCAGCAAACCAAGGGACGCGGGATAATGCCCAGGCATCCCAGGGTGTCTGCCCATGGAACACTGTGTCTGGGGCACCCGGCAGGTGCGTGGGCACAGTGTGCTGAGCCTTGATGTATGTAGGCGGATGTTTTGATGCCAGAGCAGGATCTTGGTTGGCTCTGCCTGCCACGTGCGGTAGGCAAGGCTGGACACAGTGAGGCCTCACAGCTCTGGGACGGCCCTAAACACCCAACCCCATCACTCTGGGAAGGGTGGCCAGGGGGGCTCCGCCTGACTGCTGCTGCTGCTGCTGAGGGTCTCTCCCCTGACCCCAGCACAGTGCCCATGGCAGAGCTTTCATCAGACACTGCCCAGCAGTGGTATTGTGGATCTTGCCTGTGCTCCACAAGGACCAGAGGCTTTCCTGTGCCTTCTCACCTCCTGTGTCCCTCTGCCCAGTGGCACCTTCCTACTGTTGGCTACTATGGGATGACCCCACCAGAGCATCCCCACTCCCGGCCCACACAGCATGTGCCACAGGGAGGGGCACAGGTACCTACAGCCATAATCCACTGGGATGACTCGGACACTCTTGGTGGAGGCGAAGACGTCAATGACAGCGTAGAGCGGGCGGGTGGTGGGC